CCACGGAGTGACAACGGTGACAATGGTGACAACAGTGACAACGGTAACAATAGAAACTACAGTGACAACGGTGACAACAGTGAAAACGGAGACAACAGTGACAACGGTGACAACAGTGACAACACTGACAACGGTGACAATGGACAATGGTGACAACAGTGACAACAGTGACAGTGACAATGATGACAACACTGACAACAGTGACAATGGGGACAACGGTGACAACAGTGACAACAGTGATAACGGTGACAATGGTGACAATTGGTGACAACAAAGACAACGGTGACAACAGTGACAACAGTGACAATGGTGACAACAGTGACAACAGTGACAACAACAGTGACAACAGTGACAACAGTGACAACGGTGACAACAGTGACAACGGTGACAACGGTGACAACAGTGACAATGGTGACAATAGTGACAATGGTGACAATGGTGACAACAGTGACAACAGTGACAATGGTGACATCAGTGACAACAGTGACAATGGTGACAATGATGACAACAGTGACAATGGTGACAACAGTGACAACAGTGACAACGGTGACAACAGTGACAACAGTAACAAAGGTGACAACGGTGACAACAGTGACAATGGTGACAATAGTGACAACAGTGACAAGGGTGACAAAAGTGACAACAGTGAGAATGGTGACAACAGTGACAAAAGTGACAATGGTGACAATAGTGACAATGGTGACAAGGGTGACAACAGTGACAACGGTGACAATGATGACAACAGTGACAATGGTGACAATGGTGACAACAGTGACAACAGTGACATCAGTGACAACAGTGACAATGGTGACAATGATGACAACAGTGACACTGGTGACAATGGTGACAACAGTGACAACAGTGACAACAGGACAACGGTGACAACAGTGACAACAGTGACAACAGTGACAACAGTAACAAAGGTGACAACGGTGACAACAGTGACAATGGTGACAATAGTGACAATGGTGACAATGGTGACAACAGTGACAACAGTGACAACGGTGACAACAGTGACAACGGTGACAACAGTGACAAAGGTGACAATGGTGACAACAGTGACAATGGTGACAATAGTGACAATGGTGACAATGGTGACATCAGTGACAACAGTGACAAGGGTGACAACAGTGACAACGGTGACAACAGTGAGAATGGTGACAACGGTGACAACAGTGAAAATGGTGACAACAGTGACAATGGTGACATCAGTGACAACAGTGACAAGGGTGACAACAGTGACAACGGTGACAACAGTGACAATGGTGACAACAGTGACAATGGTGACAATGGTGACAACAGTGACACTGGTGACAATGGTGACAACAGTGACAACAGTGACAACGGTGACAACAGTGACAAGGGTGACAACAGTGACAACGGTGACAACAGTGAGAATGGTGACAACAGTGACAACAGTGAAAATGGTGACAACAGTGACAACGGTGAGAATGGTGACGACAGTGACAACGGTGACAACAGTGATAATGGTGACAATGGTGACAACAGTGACACTGGTGACACCAGGGACAATGGTCACAAGAGTAACATTGATGACAACAGCGAGATGGTGACAAGAGTTACAACAGCGACGACGGTGACAACAGTGACAACGGTGACAAAGTAACAGTGACAACGGTGACTACAGTGACAATAGCGACAACGCCGACAACGGTGACAACATTGACAACAGTGGCAACGGTAAGAATGGTAATTACGGTGAAAACAGTGACAACAGTGACAAGGGTGACAACGATGACAACACCGAGAATAGTGACATTAGTGAGCAGAGCGACAACAGTGACAACGGTGAAAACGGCAACAACAGTGACAACAGTGACAACGGTGATACTAGTGACAACGGAGACAACAGTGACAACGGTGACAATGGTGACAACAGTCACCACGGAGACAACGGTGGCTACGGTGACAACAGTGACAACGGTAACAATGGAAACTACAGTGACAACGGTGATAACAGTGACAACGGAGACAACAGTGACAACGGTGACAACAGCAACAACACTGACAACGGTGACAATGGTGACAACAGTGACAACAGTAACAATGCTGTAAACACTAACAATGGTGACAACAGTGACAACGGTGATAACAGTAACAACAGTGATAACGGTGACGATGGTGAGAATTGTGACACAAAGACAACGGTGACAACAGTGACACTGGTGACAATGGTGACAACAGTGACAACAGTGACAACGGTGACAACAGTGACAACAGTGACAACGGTGACAACAGTGACAAAGGTGACAACGGTGACAACAGTGACAATAGTGACAATGGTGACAATGGTGACATCAGTGACAACAGTGACAAGGGTGACAACAGTGACAACGGTGACAACGGTGACAATAGTGACAATGGTGACAACAGTGACAACAGTGACAACAGTGACAACAGTGACAACAGTGACAACGGTGACAACAGTGACAAAGGTGACAACGGTGACAACAGTGACAATGGTGACAATAGTGACAATGGTGACAATGGTGACATCAGTGACAACAGTGACAAGGGTGACAACAGTGACAACGGTGACAATGATGACAACAGTGACACTGGTGACAATGGTGACAACAGTGACAACAGTGACAACGGTGACAACAGTGACAACAGTGACAAAGGTGACAACGGTGACAACAGTGACAATGGTGACAATAGTGACAATGGTGACAATGTCACCGTTGTCACCTTTGTTACTGTTGTCACCGTTGTCAATGTTGTCACTGTTGTCACCATTGTCACCAGTGTCACTGTTGTCATCATTGTCACCATTGTCACTGTTGTCACTGATGTCACCATTGTCACCATTGTCACTATTGTCACCATTGTCACTGTTGTCACCGTTGTCACCTTTGTCACTGTTGTCACCGTTGTCACTGTTGTCACTGTTGTCACTATTGTCACCAGTGTCACTGTTCTCATCATTGTCACCGTTGTCACTGTTGTCACCCTTGTCACTGTTGTCACTATTGTCACCATTGTCACTGTTGTCACCATTTTCACTGTTGTCACTGTTGTCACTGTTGTCACCGTTGTCACTGTTGTCACTGTTGTCACCATTGTCACCAGTGTCACTGTTGTCATCATTGTCACCATTGTCACTGTTGTCACCGTTGTCTTTGTGTCACAATTCTCACCATCGTCACCATTATCACTGTTGTTACTGTTATCACCGTTGTCACTGTTGTCACCATTGTTAGTGTTCTCAGCATTGTCACTGTTGTCACTGTTGTCACCGTTGTCACCGTTGTCAGTGTTGTTGCTGTTGTCACTGTTGTCACTGTTGTCTCCGTTGTCACTGTTATCACCGTTGTCACTGTAGTTTCCATTGTTACCGTTGTCACGGTTGTCACCATTTTCACTGTTGTCACCGTAGTCACCGTTGTCTCCGTGGTGACTGTTGTCACCGTTGTCACCGTTGTCACTGTTGTCTCCGTTGTCACTATTATCACCGTTGTCACTGTAGTCACCGTTGTTACCGTTGTCACTGTTGTCACTGTTGTCACCGTTGTCACCGTTGTCATCATTGTCACTGTTGTCACTGTTGTCACCGTTTTCACCGTTGTCACTGTTGTCGCTCTGCTCACTGTTGTCACTATTCTCGGTGTTGTCATCGTTGTCACCGTTGTCACTGTTGTCACTGTTTTCACCGTTATTACCATTCTTACCGTTCTCACTGTTGTCAATGTTGTCACCGTTGTCGGCGTTGTCGCTATTGTCACTGCAGTCACCGTTGTCACTGTTATCACCTTTGTCACCGTTGTCACTGTTGTCACCGTTGTTCACCGTCATCGCTGTTGTAACTCTTGTCACCATCTCGGTGTTGTCATCAATGTTACTCTTGTGACCTTTGTCCCTGGTGTCACCAGTGTCACTGTTGTCACCATTGTCACCATTGTCACCATTGTCACTGTTGTCCCCGTTGTCACTGTGTCACCATTGTTAGTGTTCTCAGCATTGTCACTGTAGTCACCGTTGTCACCGTTGTCAGTGTTGTTTCTGTTGTCACCGTTGACACTGTTGTCTCCGTTGTCACTGTTATCACCGTTGTCACTGTAGTTTCTGTTGTTACCGTTGTCACTGTTGCAACCGTTGTCACTGTTGTCACCGTTGTTGCTGTTGTCACTGTTGTCACCATTGTCAGTTTTGTCACCGTCTTCACTGTTGTCACCATTGTCACCATTGTAACTGTAGTCACCATTGTCGGTGTTGTGACCGTTGTCACTGTTGTAACTGTTATCACCCTTGTCACTGTGCTTACCGTTGTTACCGTTGTCACTTTTGTCACCGTTGTCACTTTTCTCACCATTGTCCTTATTTTCACCGTTTTCACTCATGTCACCGTTGTCATTCTTTTTATTGTTTTCGCTGTTGTGACTGTTGTCACTGTTGTACTGTTGTCAATGTTTTCACTGTTTTCACCGTTGTCACTGTTGTCCCCATTGTCACCGTTGTCATCGTTGTCACTGTTGTCACCGTTTTCGCTAATGTCATCGTTGTCACTGTTGTCTCCATTGTCACTGTTATCATCGTTGTAACTTTATTCACTGTTGTTACCGTTATCACTGTTGTCGCCGTTGTCACCGTTGTAACCATTGTCACTGTTGTCACTCTTGTCACTGTTGTCACAGTTGTCACCGTTGTCACCGTTGTCACTGTTGTCGCTGTGGTCACTGTTATCAAAATTGTCGGTGTTGTAATCGTTGTCACCGTTGTCACTGTTGGCACTGTTTTCACCGTTGTTACCATTCTCACAGTTGTCTCAGTTCTCACTGTTATCACCGTTGTCACTGTAGTCACAGTTGTCACCGTTGGCACCATTCTCACTGTTGTGACTGTTGTCACCATTGTCACTGTTCTCACTGATGTCACCGTTGTCACCGTAGTCACTGTTGTCACCATTGTCACCGTTGTCAGTGTTGTCAGCGTTGTCACTGTTGTCACCATTGTCACCGTTGTCACTGATGTCACTGATGTCACCGTTATTGTTTTTATGGTTTTCGCTGTTTTGACCGTTGTCACTGTTGTACTGTTGTCACTGTTGTCACCGTTGTCACTCTTGTCACCATTGTCGCTGTTGTCACTGTTTTCATCCTTGTCACCATTGTCACTGTAGTCACCGGTTTCGCTGTTGTCAACATTGTCACTTGTCACTGTTGTCACCGTTGTCACTGTACTTACCGTTGTTACCGTTGTCGCTGTTGTCACCGTTGTCACTTTTGTCACCGTTGTCACTGTTGTCACTGATGTCACCGTTGTCATTGCTTTTATGATTTTCGCTGTTATGAGTGTTGTCACTATTGTACTGTTGTCACTGTTGTCACTGTTTTTACCGTTGTCACTGTTGTCCCCATTGTCACCGTTGTCATCGTTGTCGCTGTTGTCATCGTTGTAACTGTTGTCTCCGTTGTCACTGTTATCACCGTTGTAACTGTAGTCGCCGTTGTGACCATTGTCACTGTTGTCACCCTTGTCACTGTTGTCGCTGTGGTCACTGTTGACACCATTCTCGGTGTTGTCATCGTTGTCACCGTTGTCACTGTTGTCACTGTTTTCACCGTTGTTACCATTCTCACCGTTGTCTCCGTTGTCACCATTGTCATTGTTGTCACTGTTGTCACCGTTGTCACCGTTGGCACTGTTGTCACCATTGTGACCGTTGTGACCGTTGTCACTGTTGTCACCGTTGTCTCTGTTGTCACTGTTGTCACCACTGTCACCATTGTCACTGTTGTCACCGTATTCACCGTTGTCACCGTCGTCACTGTTGTCACCGCTGTCACTGTTTTCACTGATCTCACCGTTATTGCTTTCATGGTTTTCGCTGTTGTGACTGTTGTCACTGTTGTACTGTTGTCAGTGTTGTCACTGTTGTTACCGTTGTCACTGTTCTGACCATTGTCGCTGTTGTCACTGTTGTCATCGTTGTTACCGTTGTCACTCTTGTCGCCGTTGTCACCGTTGTGACCGTTGTCACCATTGTCACTGTTGTCACTCTTAGTTGTCACCGTTGTCACCGTTGTCACTGTTGTCGCTGTGGTCACTGTTATCAAAATTGTCGGTGTTGTAATCGTTGTCACCGTTGTCACTGTTGGCACTGTTTTCACCGTTGTTACCATTCTCACCGTTCTCTCTGTTCTCACTGTTATCACCGTTGTTACTGTAGTCACGGTTGTCACTGTTGTCACCATTTTCACTGTTGTCGCCATTGTCACCGTTGTTTCTGATGTCACTGATGTCACCGTTATTGTTTTTATGGTTTTCGCTGTTTTGACCGTTGTCACTGTTGTACCGTTGTCACTGTTGTCACCGTTGTCACTGTTGTCACCATTGTCGCTGTTGTCACTGTTTTCATCCTTGTCACCATTGTCACTGTAGTCACCGGTTTCGCTGTTGTCACCTTTGTCACTTCTCACTGTTGTCACCGTTGTCACTGTACTTACCGTTGTTACCGTTGTCACTGTTGTCACTGATGTCACCGTTGTCATTGCTTTTATGATTATCGTTGTTATGAGTGTTGTCACTATTGTACTGTTGTCACTGTTGTCACTGTTGTCCCCATTGTCACCGTTGTCATCGTTGTCGCTGTTGTCATTGTTGTAACTGTTGTCTCCGTTGTCACTGTTATCACCGTTGTAACTGTAGTCACCGTTGTCACCGTTGTGACCATTGTCACTGTTGTCACCGTTGTCACTGTTGTCGCTGTGGTCACTGTTGACACCATTCTCGGTGTTATCATCGTTGTCATCGTTGTCACTGTTGTCACTGTTTTCAATGTTGTTACCATTCTCACCGTTGTCTCCGTTGTCACCATTGTAATTGTTGTCACTGTTGTCACCGTTGTCACCGTTGTCACCGTTATGTCACCTTTGTCGCTATTGTCACTGTTGCCCCCGTTGTCACCGTTATTACTGTTGTCAAAATTGTCACCGTTGTCACTGTTGTCACTGATGTCACCGTTATTGTTTTTATGGTTTTTGCTGTTGTGATTGTTGTCACTGTTGTACTGTTGTCACTGTTGTCACCATTGTCACTGTTGTCGCCATTGTCACTGTTATCACCTTTGTCACCGTTGTCACTGTTGTCACCGTTGTCACTGTTGGACCGTTGTCACCGTTGTCACTATCGTCGCTGTTGTCACTGTTGTCACCATTCTAGGTGTTGTCATCGTTGTCACTGTTGTGACCATTGTTACTGGTGTCACCGTTGTCACTGTAGTTTCCGTTGTTACCGTTGTCACTGTTGTCACCTTTTCGCTGTTGTCACCGTAGTCACCGTTGTCACCATTGTCACCGTTGTCACTGTTGTCTTCGTTGTCACTATTATCACCGTTGTCTCTGTAGTAACCGTTGTTACCGTTGTCACTGTTGTCACTTTTGTCACCATTGTCACCGTCCTTACCGTTGTCACTGTTGTCGCTGTGGTCACTGTTGTCACCATTCTCGGTGTTGTCATCATTGTCACCGTTGTCACTGTCGTCACTGTTTTCACCGTTGTTACCATTCTCACCGTTGTCACTGTTGTCAATGTTGTCAGCATTGTCGGTGTTGTCGCTGTTGTCACCGTAGTCACCGTTGTCATTGTTGTCGCGGTTGTCACTGTTATCACCTTTGTCACCGTTGTCACTGTTGTGACCGTTGTCACTGTTGTCACTGTCGTCGCTGTTGTCACTGTTGTCACCATTCTCGGTGTTGTCATCGTTTTCACTGTTGTGACCATTGTTAGTGGTGTCACCTTTGTCACTGTTGTCATCATTGTCACTGTTGTCACTTTTGTCACTGTTGTCACCGTTGTCGCTGTTCTCACTGTTGTCACCATTCCCGGTGTTGTCATTGTTGTCACCGTTGTGACTATTGTCACTGTTGTCACCGTTGTCACTGTTGTCACTGTTGTCACTCATGTCACCATTGTCGTTGTTTTTATGGTTTTCGCTGTTGTGACCGTTGCCACTGTTGTACTGGTGTCACCGTTCTTACCGTTTTAACTGTTGTCGGTCTTGTCTGTGTTGTCACTGTTGTCTTCGTTGTCACTGTTATCACCGTTGTCTCTGTAGTCACCTTTGTTAGCGTTGTCACCGTTGTCACCCTTGTTGCTGTTCTCACTGTTTTCAAGATTTTCGGTGTTGTCATCGTTGTCACCGTTGTCACTACTGTCACTGTTTTTACCGTTGTCACCATCGTCACAGTTGTTACTGTTCTCACCATTGTCACTATTGTCACTGTTGTTACCGTTGTCATCTTTCAAGCTGTTGTCGCTGTTGTCACCGTAGTCACCGTTGTCCCCATTGTGACTGTCATCACCATTGTTACTGTAGTCACCATTGTGACTGTTGTCACCGTTGTCAATGTTGTCACTGTTGTCACCATTCTCGGTGTTGTCATCGTTGTCTCTCTCATACCATTTTCACTGGTGTCACCGTTGTCACTGTTGTCATTACTGTCACTGTTCACACCGTTTTCAGCGTTGTCACTGTTTTCACAGTTGTCACCATCGTCACCGTTGTTACTGTTATCACCATTGTCACTGTTGTCACCGTTGTCACCGTTGTCATCGTTGTCGCTGTTGTCGCTGTTGTCACCGTACTCACTGTTGTCTCCATTGTGACTGTTATCACCATTGTCACTGTAGTCACCATTGTCACTGTTGTCACCGTTGTCAATGTTGTCACTGTTGTCACCATTCTCGGTGTTGTCATTGTTTTCTCTGTTGTGACCATTGTCACTGTTGACATTATTGTCACTGTTGACACCGTTTTCAGCATTGTCACTGTTTTCACCGTTGTCACCATCGTCACCGTTGTCACTATTGTCACTGTTGTTACTGTTGTCACCGTTGTCACCGTTGTCACCGTTGTCACTGTTGTCTCCGTTGTCACTATTATCACGGTTGTCACTGCCATCACCGTTGTTACCGTTGTCACTGTTGTCACTGTTGTCACCGTTGTCACCGTTGTCACTGTTGTCGGTGTGGTCACTGTTGTCACCATTCTCGGTGTTCTCATCGTTGTCACCGTTGTCACTGTTGTCACTGTTTTCACCGTTGTTACCATTCTCACCGTTGTCACTATTGTCAATGTTGTCACCATTGTCGGTGTTGCGCTGTTGTCACCGTAGTCACCGTTGTCACTGTTGTCTCCGTTTTCACTGTTATCACGTTTGTCACCGTTGTCACTGTTGTCACCGTTGTCACTGCTGTGACCGTTGTCACTGTTGTCACCGTCGTCGCTGTTGTCACTGTTGTCACCATTCTCAGTGTTGTCATCGTTGCCACTGTTGTGACCATTGTCACTGGTGTCACAGGATTCACTGTTGTCACCATTGTCCCTGTTGTCACCGTTCTCACTGTTGTCACCGTAGTCACCGTTGTCACTGTTGTCACCGTTCTCACCATTGTCACTGTTGTCACTGTGGTCACTAATGTCACCATTCTCGGTGTTGTCATCGTTGTCACTGTCTTGACCATTGTCACTGTTGTCACCGGTGTTACTGTTGTCAGCATTGTCACTGTTGTCACCGTTGTCACTGTTGTCACCGTAGTCACCGTTGTCACTGTTGTCACAGTTGTCACTGTTGTCACTGTTGTCACCGTTGCCGCTGTTGTCACTGTTCTCACCATTCTCGGTGTTGTCATTGTTGTCACCGTTGTGACCATTGTCACTGTTGTCACCGTTGTCAACGTTGTCACCGTTGTCACTGTGATCACTGTTGTCACCATTGTCACCATTGTCACTGTTGTCACCATTGTCACCATTGTCACTGTTGTCACCGTTGTCACCGTTGTCACCATTGTCACTGTTGTCACCGTTGTCACCGTTGTCAATGTTTTTGCTGTTGTCACCATTTTCTCCGTTGTCACTGTTATCACCGTTGTCACTGTAGTCACAGTTGTCATCGTTGTCACTGTTGTTATTGCTGTCACCATTGTCACCGTTGTCACTGACGTCACTGTTGTCACCTTTGTCACTGTTGTCACCGTTGTCACTGTTGTCACTGTTGTCACCGTTGTCACTGTTGGCACCATTGTCACCAGTGTCAATGTTGTCATCATTGTCACTGTTGTCACCGTTGTCTTTGTGTCACAATTCTCACCATCGTCACCATTATCACTGTTGTTACTGTTATCACCGTTGTCACTGTTGTCACCATTGTTAGTGTTCACAGCATTGTCACTGTTGCCACCATTCTCACCGTTGTCACTGTTGTTGCTGTTGTCACCGTTGTCACTGTTGTCTCCGTTGTCACTGTTATCACCGTTGTCACTGTAGTTTCCATTGTTACCGTTGTCACTGTTGTCACCATTGTCACTGTTGTCACTGTAGCCACCGTTGTCAACGTGGTGACTGTTGTCACCGTTGTCACCGTTGACAC